TTTGTTCCGGGTTATCCATTAATTTTTTATTGGCGCAGATTTGGCTTTTCTGTTATTGATATTTCGAGCATCCTGGTCCAGAAGTACCATTACTTAAAACCGGGATTAGGGAATCTCTAGGCAATTTCAGCCATATATTTTGGCTCTCTGTGCCTCGTTATTTTTGAATAACGTATTATTATCTTGTTCATTTGACCGAATTATTACTGGCATTTAGTGTATTGCGATTTGTTAGTTTCACGAGTTTTATAATTTTCGGTAGTCTCAATAATTTTGTACAATTCCTCGCCATCGGATTTCATGGCAATTCTAGTACTTCAAAGTCCCGTAAGCTGGGCATTATGTGACGCGTACTTTTTTCTGTTTTGTTCTCATTATTACAGATATCATGTAGATTTATCGACTTGTGCATCACTGTAGTTTCAAGTCATTGAATTTTATTCTGACTAATTTTTCGCAACACTTGCCCATTACTTTTGGCTTATCTTGACTTGCACCAATTCAGTCTCGTGACTCAGTAATTTATGACATTTTATTGTATTTTGCTTTTAGGCTAATTCATTTATAGATTCACTCATTTATTTTGTAAAATCTTTGACTTCGGGACACTGCTATTTTTCTCAACTGGACAATAGTGACTTGTGTGTATATTTTAACTGCAATATTCGTGAGTAACGCCCAATCGTCTTATTTTTTGTATCCAGTGATTGATTTTATTAAAAATTATTCTCCCCGACGATTTATGAATTTACTTTTGTCCAATTACCTGTCGCCTAACAATTGCATTTTGGATTTTGCTTTTGGGGTTATTGGTACCAGAGGGCCGACATAACGGGAGAAGAATCCCGCCTTCTTCCAAATTTACGTCACAGTATAAGTTCGGGGTTTGTGGGGGATTCTGATGCTGGTGATAGCTGACAATAAGTTCTGTGGTTTACTAAACGATTACACAGCAAGTGATGCAGCTTGCTTTTTTTAGGCCCGTGATCTTGGATGGTGAATTAAATTCAATAATTCCCGGCCAAGATAAATCCGGGACAAGATAAATCCGGGTACTGGAGAAATACTCAAGAAGTTAATTGATTTGAGGGAGGACCTGAAATGCAAAGAGAGGGGGTTGGGGGAATGATCGACTCAGGGGTAAAGTATGAACATGTAGTGTATTTCTCACCTAGGGGGGTAAAATATAGAAGGCTTGCCCACGTGCAGAATTACTGTCCGAGCCGAAGGCGAGGTTGGTAAGCACGTGGGTAAGCCTTATTTATTTTACCTTCCGTGGTGAGAACGTATTTTTTCTCCCTGGTGTAGGAGCAAAGTTAGAATTTCTTCACACGCAGCGTCAGTGCAGCAACCTTGCGGCGACAGCGTTTGGTGGCCGCCAATTCTATCGCACGGCGTACAAATCCTCCGGGTTATTCTCTGGTTATCCTTCCTTCAGTCACCATTCCTCCACTCTTCCTTCACTTCCGGGGAAAATGCACCCTGGCACACGGGTCGATACGGGATCTGGTTGCGGGGATATTCTTAGGCGATGAATGAAATATTAACGGATTACGTGATGATGCGTTATAGGATCAAATAATGACTCACGTGGCGTCGGTCAAAGAAGCCAACTTAATGAGTAAAAAGTCACTAATAACACACAAATATATCACAATAGAGAGAGCTGAGCGAGAACGGTATATAATTCTATGAATTGGAAAGGTATTTTCGAGAATTACTAATAATGTACGGGTCAAATGAGAGAGAGTGATAAGCCCCAAGGTGGGAGGTGTGGATCTTCGCGATGGTCAATTACACCTGTCCATCAAGTGGCACCTCAGTTGTCAGAGGTCAAAGACCAGTGGTCATCTGAGGTGAGCGAACGAGTCAATCAGCTAAGTGCGTCATGGGTGTTGAGTGCGTGTCTCTGTGTGGAAGAAAAATTCGGTGAAAAACCGGACACACACACCTATCCGACAAACAAGATCTCTCCCTACACTCTCCAAAAACTTTTCCGAAGTCTCTCTCTAATATGAACGCTCGGGGCAGCTGCAAATCGAGTGATGACGTCTTTTCATTCGATCGCCTTCTTCCCCGATTATCGGCGATAATCCGAATTAATCGGGGGCACTTGTCATTTAGTGTTCTTTTCCGATTAATTGGGTTGGCGGGCACAACCGACGGATGTCGTCGTTCCTTCCAGGGTCACGTGGTGTACGGTCAGCTATGTGTGGGGTTTGTTCGTTCCTGAAAGTTTCTTCTTCCGCGGTGAGTGTCGTGGCGACAGCACAAGGGGGGTGGGGGGGAGGTTGTATCTGCTCGTCGACTCCTGGCACGTGTGAGTACCATGGTGAGGGGAAATGGCGGGTGGGGAGAAGGAATATTTCGGGAGTTAGAAACCACTGATGACAGATATTCTAACCCAACTTAACCAAGCTTAGCGTACTTACACTCATAACAGTAGTTAATGTAATTCTTAGAGGCCAGAGGGAGGGGCGCAAATGTTGCCTAGTCACTGGCTATAAAAAAACCATTCGCGATAAATTCAATGGCTCTCATCAAAATTGACGATATCTATGCGTGTTATTGAATTATTAAAGAAAAGACAGATGATACATAAAATAGGAAGCCTGAATTCATCAATGAAGTTCATTAATCGAGCGTAGAAGAGAATTTACAAATACAAAGACGAGGTTACAACATGTCGTGAAAGGCATGATCAGTGTTGATAACGTGCGTACATAATGATGAGATATTTATTAATCATTGATATTTTATTGGCTAGGTCTTCAGTAATTCCATTGGTCAGAATGGCCGTTTACAAAAGAAAATTTTATGGATTGAAAGACTCAGAATACACTGTAGACTTTGGTCGCTGGATCAATAGAACACGTGATCAACCACAGAGGTGGGCAACCTCAGCTCTCGGAGCCACTCCAGCTCCCGACCTCAGAAACTTGGTGGTGGGAAAAGTGAAATAGAAAAATTTTCTATTTCTTCAGTGGAAATATTATGTCAATTATTGTTTTTTTTTGTTGTTTATCCTTTCGATTGGTTATTGGTTGCTTTTAATCGTCTTTATCAGAAAAGATTGCGGACCTTTCATACATTTCTTGAAGTAATTTTGAAATTATAATTTTAATATTGTTTGGAAAACAATTATTAAATATTACCATGTTGTTAATAGACCCGACTTGACATGCATTTTCAAACTTTTCATTTCTATATTTCCCGCTCTCGATGCCCAATTAAAATGAACAAATTTCTCAGAACCAACAAAATTATCGGCGTCCTTTAATCTTTAATTAACTATGAAATATTTCTATCTCAAGTTCACGAGCATGCCACTTCCATTTAAAACTATGAGTATTGCATCTAAACCATCATCTTTTTATTCCATTTTTTTAATCAAAAACAAAATGTCCAAACACCTGCATAAAAAATTCAAACCATTTTGCCATCGCATTTCAATCACGCGCATGCGCCATCGTTCGATATTACCCCACCACACAAATATACGATAATCCTTGTAATCACGTTCGATTCCTTATAATTGGAACCTTTATAATTTTATGACTGCAGCTCCGAGCCAACCTGAGGTTGCCCACCTCTGATCAACCGAATCGAATTGAAGATTTAAGCAGTCTGATTCTGGATAATGGTGATTAGGTAATATTTTAGTTATTTGATTTTTACTTCATTAACCGTTTCTTTATACATTCTATAGAGAATCCTGAATAGGCTTAAACGCATCAATATTGGGAGTAAATTGATGAATGAGGAGAAATATTTTCTAATTTTTAACTATGTAAATGGTAATGAGTATAGGGTAGGGTACATAGGGTTCTTTCGCATTGTTAACAGGACGTAATGTTATTGCGAAGCAACCATTTTGTTCAATTTCCTTATGGTTTCGACTTCTGTGAACTATCATTTGTAGCATCCAAACAAGAGATTCGTTGTAAATCTAGAGAAAGCAAAAAATATGAAATCACAGGTTTTCATGATTGAACGCAGGTGTTTTTAAGCAGTTCAAAATCATATTAAGGCGTTAATCAAGTAGTATTAATACAATTGAGGTATACTGAAATTACCTTTATTAATGTGTCATAGTCTTTAATAACTTTTGATTGCCATTTTTGAAGAAATGAGTCCTTTTGAATCATTTTTAACCTCATCATGAGAAACGGTTGGATTTCTGCGTGGAGTTCTATTAACAGTTCCAATGAATCCCACTATGTTTCAGTGTTCCATAACAACTGCCTCCGATGAAGTGTTCATACTTAATGGTTTGCCCTAAAAGTTAATGAAGGCCATATCACAGGGCTTAGAAAAAATTGAGAACTAGAAATATCGCGAGTCCCAATTGAATACTAACGGATATTTTAAATTTTTTTTTGAAATTAAGTTACTACTAAAAATTTCTTCGTATCTCGCGCTATAAAAAAGAAAAAGTTCACAATTTTGAAAGAAAAACATATCTCTCTCAAATTTTAATTCCCAAACTCCACATGACCGCTACACATCGTGGCTACAGCCACAAAGATACTTATTATTCCTCTCTTTAAAATTAACTCCTTTTGCTACAATTACCTCTATCGACTGTGAATATCACGGCAAATATACTGTTCATCATATTATAGTATTCGACTTAAGGAAGAAACCAAATTTTACTTATGTAGTCTCGCATGCATCAAGACGGCCTTTATTAATAATTTTTTGTAATATTCGTATACAATCTATAAAAATAGAGCATTTATAAAATTGAAAGATTTTTTCTCGACGACCTTCAGGAGGCGTTCACATATAGATAATACATCAGTTACGGGTGCGCATCGTTTTTTATGGTTAAAAATAAGTTACTCACCGAAAACACTAACCGTAAATTTCGGATCTTGTAAGTTATGAGTTAAAAAGGCTAAATTAAGACATTAAACACCTAAATTACGATTATCCATGTCGCGAATTGTGAGTTTTACGTTGATACGTCCCTACCAAGTGCCCTATGATGGCATTAGCAAAATTTTCCATCTTATTTTATCGAGTATCGAGCCTGACCAACACTCAACGCATAAGTCCCAAAATTATCAAATATCTAATCTTGAATTCAATCAATTACTGAATTATCCAACACTGTTCTTCAAGAAATTTGAAACCCCAAAGATAAAGAACCTAATGCACACATGCATAATAAATATTTCAGAAAACAATAGCAGAATTCCCCGTGTATATCCCTGTATCGTAAGAATTACCGAAAGCGATTAAAGAACCAGATAATTTTCAAATCTCTAAAAATGTTATTCGAACCCGATGAACCCCTGAAATCGTAAAGTACCATAAATTCTAAAAATACTCCCCCGACTCTCAACGACCCGTGAGACCAGAATTTTTCATAAAGTTAAATACGCCGCTGTATTTTAATCCCCAAAACTCTAATCACAACCCTCCATATCAACAAAAATCCCTAAATTCGATGATTCAGACTATTTATTCGTCCTTCAATCCAAGTCGGCAGACGATAACGTTGGGTCCAAATCCAGAATAATATGCCTTAAATACTCTGAACCACTGATAACACGAGAAACTGAAGTTATTTTGAGTCTCTAACTCCTGAAAATTCATTAACCTCTGAAGGTCACTTCACGACCAAAAAACTAGTCGAGCGTCGTTACAGACGCTATAATTCCAATTTTCATTAACTTACAAATATCTGGAACAAATATCGTCTAAATAACCTAAACACGAGTCGAAGACAGTGATAATTATTGAAATATATCACTAAGAAAAATTAAGGAAACAACTTTCCCAGGCACGGAAGAAACCCCTCAAGGGCTCGACAATTTAACGATAATATGAAGGATGGGAAGCGTCTTAGCGAATTCAATTCTCTCAACAGTTTATCAAATAACCATAAATAATTTTCAGAAGTATCCAATCCCTTACGGATATCGAATCAACTAAACCAGTCGCGTTAGATCTCTCCGAAGGAAATGAATCATCCTAACAATTCCACAACGTGACTGTCCAAGGTGATGTCCAAACGACGAGTGATTAGACACAAACGACACCAAGCCGAGCGTTACTCGAGAGAACGTTATCCATCATTTGATTGTCTGACATTAGGCTACAATCAATTCGCTGATTGGCTATCAATCAAAGTCTTATGAGACTTAATACGTCTTACCAGCCGAACAATTTTCTAACATAATATCGGTTATAGCCGACATAACTTAAATTATCGCAATAATAATTCAGCGATGTCAAACAACGCCTTGCCGGAATTAATGAATTAAGTAAGTCCGATAATACCGAAACTTATTCGACATTTCTATCGCTCGGAGTCCCTAAGTGAATATCCTCTAAAGTTCTCCTGCAAAATATCTGGCCCATCCGAGGGCGTCATCACTTGTCTTTGCTCGACGGCAGACAGGGCATTCTTCAAATTACGTGCTCCTTTCCCTAAAGGGTTACAAAATCCAGAGATCATAACTCTTCGTTGTCCTCCGAAATCCCGCGATGCAATTGACCATCGGTAAGCGATGACAATGACTCGATATAACGCAAAATATAAAAAAGAAATATAATCTTGCTTGCGATGACTCTTCGTCTGGACATTAAAAATGACCGTTGAACAGTCGAAACAAAATGACACGTTACACCATATAGTAGATTCAACACTAAAAACTCTCTTCTCAAATTTCCCAACGTCAGTACTAATTTAAATCTAAAATCTACAAGTTCTACCTCTGTTCCACCTCAGAAGATTAATCTATCTACTCCTGAACTTCCAAATGAACATTTTTCACCAAGTGTAAATTAGAAGATATTTTTAATTCAAAGTGTTAGCTGCCATCTAAAATAGTTAGTCGCCCTTTGTATACGTTAGTTAAAACAAAAATTATGAAACCAAATGCAACCAAGTGAAGTTTGAATCCGAATAAAACTGGTAAGATCAAAGTTAAATCAGCTCGTGGCTTAAATGATCAGCCACGCATAGTGGCCTTGAGCTGTGGAACCTACCTAAGGAATACTGTTCGGTTTTCCACCGAATTATTCTTCCACACACTCGCACACATTCACAAACACACATGACCCACTCAGCTGACTGACTCGCTCACCTCAGATGACCAGTGGCCTTTCACCTCTGACACCTGAGGCGCCACTTGATGGATAGGTGTAATTGACCATTGCGATGATCGACACCTCCCACCTTGCGGCTTATCACTCTCTCTCACTTGCATATCGACCGTGAGAGTGTTTACGCGCTTTTCTCAGTACTTCTCTTTTGTTAAATCCATTGATCCGCTCATTTAATTAGTTCTTCTCGGAATTAAATAGTAGCTTGAATTTTAATATTCTAGCTCAACTCTTTTTGTGACAAATACAAGTGTATTTAGTGACTCTTTTAGTAATTAAAATTGACTCTTTTGACCGACGCCACGCGAGTGATTATTTGATCCTCTCACGCACTCTCCCGTAATCCGATTATATCTTGTCCATCGCCTGAAAATATCCCCGAAACCAGATCCCACATCGAACAAATACAGCTATCCAGTTATCCATTAACAACCGGAGTTACGCCTCAAAAGTCTCGATCCATTGAAATCCTGACTGCTCGACATCTATAGGGACGAAACAATGGCCAACAATTTTGTAATATACACGTAGGTTTTATTAAAAATCACAAAAAAATTTTGTGAAAAAATGGCGCCAAGTCGACGTGAATCTGATCGCCTCCAAGACAGAAACAAGCGACAATTACTGAATGGTTGAAATCACACAGTAGGCGAACTGATTATGATATAATGTCATTTAAAAAAAAACATGAAAATATTAAAAAATGCCAAGTTTATGCTGACAGCGTCTACTAGGACAATTTTCCGCAGTTTTAGTTCCGATTGGAAAATCGGTTATTGTTAATCAAGGCTTTTGTCATTCCCACTGTAAGACAGTGTTTTACGGCTGCGTAGCTTTGCTTCGCGTCCACGAAACGCTGACTACGGCTGTTATGACAAAAAATAGTGGGCGTCATACGGCCAAAAAAAATTTGTCGGCCAATATGATTGTTGCAAACCTCATCTTCGCTAGAAAAGTTTTTTTCGGCCTAATGACAAAATATACTGTTTGGAACCCCGTCCATAGGAAATTGATTCGGAAAAAAGTCAACTTAGCGCGCCAGGCTGTTCGATAATGAACATACTTCGTAGGAAGTGAATGATTGACAAAGCTAGAGTTCGCACGCTAATCGACAAAACGCCAAAACTATTGAGATTTGATTCAGTTTAATATATCACAATTGGATTCGGTATACCTGACGTGTACCTAACCTATTCACCAATGAACGTCAAATAGCATATCGGTATGAGGAGAGTGGGCACCCGCCAGTGTGATGGCGCGTTCGTAAACGACGCATGGTGGCACACTCACATTCTTAGACAACGGCAAAGAGTGGGGGACGAAGATCATCAGTGAATAGTTTTAAATGAGATGTAGTGCTTATACATGATAAGATGTCCGTAATTCAAATATTAACACTCGATGCCAATTGTTAAAGGGTAATTCACAAATATTAGGTTATTTAGGTAATTAATTGAAGATTAAAATGCTCGAAGATTGAAGCACTGAAAATTTTTAATTTAAAGGATTAAATTTAGGTGCAATATTGAAATGAAATATTAACAATTGATTCCAATTGTGAAAGGGTCATCTACAAACATTAAATTGTCTGTTTAATTAATTTATGATTAAAATGTTCACATTGTGAATATTGGAAAATTAACTGAACGAAAATTTTTAATTTGGTTGTTATATTCAAAGCATTAAATTATCAACAATCAATTCCAATTGTTAAAGAGTAATTCAGAAATATTAGGTTATTTAGGTAATTAATTTTAACTGAACTAAAATTCTTAATTTGGTTATAATATTTAAATCATTAAATTATTAACAATCGATTCCAATTGTTAAAGGGTAAGTCACAAATATTAGGTTATTTAGGTAATTAATTTTAACTGAACTAAAATTTTTAATTTGGTTGTTATATTCAAATCATTAAATTATTAACAATCGATTCCAATTGTTAAAGAGTAATTCGCAAATCTTAGGTTATTTAGGTAATTAATTTTAACTGAACTAAAATTTTTAATTTGGTTGTTATGTTCAAATCACTAAATTATCAACAATCGATTCCAATTGTTAAAGAGTAATGTACAAATATTAGGTTATTTAGGTAATGAATTTTAACTGAACTAAAATTTTTGATTTGGTTGTTATATACAAATCAG